TTTAATAAAATCGAAGAAAACAGAAGCTTTTAGGTGATTATTTTAATGAATTTATTGAATAAAATTCTAACAAAACAAAAAAATGTGTCATTGATTTAATTTGCTATTCTCGCTAAAAAAAAAAAAACAAGACAGATTTAAAAATTTAAATTTCTTTTAATTTGTTCGCTCTTTCCATAGATTTACAAACATAAAAAAACACCTTAAATTTTTGCAGAAACTGTAACAGAAGAATACCAAAAACAGAAGAATAAACAAAAATAGCAATTCAATTCATAATAAAAATACATATTTTTGTATTTTGTTAAAGAAACAAAAAAAAAAATAAAAATCACACATCTGTTGAATATTAATTAATTGCATTAATTTCTTTTGTATCTGTTTGTTTGGGCAAATATGTATTTTTATTCGTTATTTGATTTGAAAACAAAGAAATAAATTATAAATACCTTTTTTTAGCGAAAGTAATTTTCACACATTCAGACGAACACTCACATTCGATTATTTAAAAATTAATCAAATAATGGCCTTTATTAGTTTGAATTTTGTAGGTTTAAGTAGATAATTAATTTGCATAAATGTCGATATAAATTATTTTGTTTTACAAAATGCTTATTTGAGTAAAAATTTCTGAACAATGAATGTAAAATAATACTACCCTATAAGAACAGTGACAGTCATTTGACCGGTCAATTGACTGTCACTACTGAGAATATACCCATCATTGCGTAGAACAAAGCTCCCATCACTTTCTTAAGGGCAATATGTAAAAAGTGATGGAAACATTTGTGTACATGTGATGTTGCATCACCCTCGCACTTATGAATTCTATCGACTTTAAAACATATATTTGAGCTGCTCACTCTTTTGTTGTTTACTAATCATGGATGATATAAATATTAGTCATGATTGACTAATCATGCTTGATGGATATATCCATCACAGTTAACAAATAAAAAAATGATGCATTAATCGGTCATTGTTGACTAATCACACTTGATGAATATATCCGTCAAATCTGACGGCTATACCAATTTATAATAAAACACAATTTATTGATATTTTAATATATATATATGTATATTGTTAATTTTATTAATATAGTAATCATATACATAAATTACCAGTCTTTTCACCATTTTACATATCTCGCAGAATCTTAAGTCCTCTGATGCTCCTATTAATTTGTGGAAATAAGTTGTCTGTAAAGAAATACATAAGTATTCATAAATATCGAAATACAAAAATCATAAGTACATATTTATGTTACCATTGATTGATTAAACTCCGAATTGTTTATCTTCTGATCCACTTCCTGAACTTTTTTCAAATTTAGTTTATAATAATTCTCTTAATTTTTAATAATTTAAAGACTTTGTAATTTTTTTATTTTTTCGCTTCTTGATCTTTGGCTTTCGCAGAAACAATTAATTTGTAACGACGAAAAATACAACTCTGTAACACAGTGACAGTCATTTGATCGGTCATTTGGCTGTCATTGTTGATCAAAATATAAATTTTAATACATTTTAATCAAAATGTAGTTGTTTCATTCTTTCATATGCAAATTCAACCCTATACCACACATTGGGTCCAGTAACGGTCATTTTACCGGTCATTTGACTGTCATTGTTGATGGAATCATCCATTAAATTTTTTTTTCGACAATTCTATAAAAAAAATGTTGCGTGTGTATTAGTAAAATCATTTTGTATGTGTTAGTTTCGGTCATTCATTTCTTATAGGGCTACTAGCAAATGATTTCTATTCTACACTACTTCTGGATTGAACTTATGCACAGTGGGACTGATTTGTAAGGAAAACAATGACGATAAAATTTTTTATTTAATAAACGTAAACGTATGTATTTGATTTGTTTTTATACCCCTCACCTTCGTGAGAAATTCCATAATAGTCCAAAATATTCAGCTATGCCGAATCTTATATACCCACCATCAAAGCGTAAGCTGTAAATTAAAGTTAATTACAGAAGGTGGTTCTATATAAGAACTTAGATATTAGAATTTTAATTAAGGTTTGATTCAGTTATTGACCAAAAAATAATAATTTTTGAACAATTGGAATCAATAATGTTGCGAAAATGTTGGTTTATATAAAACTAGTCTCTGTCGACTTACAGAAATTGACCTTGTATGGGTGGTTGGATCAAAAATGGACCGATGCTCATCAAATTTTGTTACCACAAAACTTGTTTATGTTGAATTCCATCACCCATATAAGGGGAGTATGGTCAATTATGGATGGATTCTTATAAAATTTTATACAGATATTTTGGTTTAAAACTACATTTTGCATAATTTCATAATTATACGGGTATTTTTAAGTTGGTCCTTTTATAAGGGATAGGATTTTATGCCAAATTTCGTCATGTCGAATTTTGTGATTTTTTGTTGGGGGCTTATGTGGGAGGTGGGGTCAATTATGAATCGATCGTCCAATTTAATAGAGAGATTTTGATTCCTATACAACATGTTATTGT